AATTCTGGGAGTTGAAGTCCACAAGTCTTAAAGCTGTCAAGTTTGAACATCACTGGTTTTTTTTTCTAAAGTTTATGGGTGCAAGGGTCTTGTAACTTGACAGCTTTAAGACTTGCACACTTCAATGCCAGAGTTCCTGAGCCAACATGACTGGAGGAGGAATTCTGGGAGTTGAAGTCCACAAGTCTTAAAGCTGTCAAGTTTGAACATCCCTGGGGGTTTTTTTCTAAAGGGTTACAGGTGCAAGGATCTTGTAACTCGATAGCTTTAAGACTTGCACACTTCAAATGCCAGACTTTCTGAGCCAACATTTTGGTTGCTAAGCAAGAATGTTGTTAAGTGAATTTCACCACATTTTATAAGCTGGCCACGCCCAATCAGTCACATGACTCCCAAGCCACTCCCACTCAGTCACATAGCCACTCCCACAAAACACCTACAGAAGAGGTTCTAAAAATTTTTGAAACCCACCACTGGCCAAACTATACAGTAGGAGAGATGATTTAAATTAGAAAAAGATTCAGAATGTAAGTAAAAAATGAAAATAAAACAAGTAAAAGCTTAAAATACAACTTCTTAATTACCACGACACTCACCAACAAACATATTTATTTGCTTCCTGATGTCTCCTAAGACAAATGGTTCAGTTCTTAATTTTAGTTTGTGATATCAATTTTGGCAACTTTCTTGCAGAGCAAATGTGCCCTTAAATATATAATTTTCTTAATTTAGAAAAAATAGGCCCCCAAAAGCAGACCAAAAGAGAAAAAATTAGTTAATTACAGCGTAATCTCCTTTTGATACACCAGTTGAGGGTTTATTCTTTATGTCACGTTAAATACAGGAATTTATAATTATGGCAGTTTATATCATTTGTGGGATAATGTCATACAAATGATGCAATGGCACCATTTGTGTCATTGGTATAATTATATATCGTTACAGATTGATATGAAATACCTCAGACCAGGGGTGTCAAACTCATGTCATCATGGCAGCATCATGTGAAGTATTGGGGCTTCCCTCCCACCCTTCACTGAACCATGTGTGGGTGTAGCCAGCATGTGACGCATCCAGCCTATGGGCTGGGAGTTTGACAGCCCTGCCTCAGACTGTGAAATTGCTGCTCAGAAGGTCCACTATATTGAAGTCTATAAAATTAAGATTTCCTTGCAATAATTTTCCTTTTTTTCTTGCTATTACTGTAAACATGAACATTTCCCCCCCCCCATATTTAATCAGTGTTAACAATACTGTTAACCTTTCAACTTTTATAAACAGAGTATACATGGACCTCCCCAGAGCTTTTGTGGACTGGACTCAACTGTGAAAATTTAGAATGGGGAAAGTATTACAAAGCCACTTGTGCTACAGTTCTTGGCACACACACTGTTCTACTAACTCTATTTAGACCAGGACTTTACTCTTTATATTATAGGCCTTTTATTGTTATTACTTATGCTAGTTATTAAAAGCAATTAAAGTATGGCATGAATGTGATAATTCAATTATAATCAGCCTCTATTTCAGATTCTCCTCTAAAGTATTATTTACTTGTATTGCAGCTGAGTGCACATCTCGTTGTACAATTAGGGCACCGTAGACTCTCAATGAGGACCACTCTGAAGCGGCCACTTATGTCAAAGGATTTAGCTACATGTTTAGTTTAGTCTTAAAGAAATGTCGTTCCCTAGGTAGGTTTAACAGAGACCAAAGAGTAATACTGAATAGTGTAAAAGATATGAAATATAAATGGGAAAAGTGGTTTCCAAATTAATGCTGAGTGAACTTTGAGCAATCCAATCTACGGAAGCTGCATCCATGACGGGGAAAATGTGTTACAGATAACCATAAATCTAGTGTTCCTGTCTTTGCTTCTACCAGATCATTCCCATGATTTTCTTCATACTACTTGTAAACTTGTTGATAACCTAATTTGTTGTGTCCCTTCTCATTTTGTATTTTTGTGGAGGGGTGTGTGTGTGTGTGTGTGTGTGTGTGTGTGTGTGTGTGTTTCAATATGTCAATTTGTAGAATGCTTATTGAAGTTGTCCAAACCCCAAAGGTGATGTGCAGGGAGCCAAGAAGACACAGAGAGATTCCCATGGGCATTCTGTTGAGGATTCATCCCTGTCTTATATTGAAGGCATAAATGTTTACACCTAATACACACTTTCATGCACTGTGCTTTGACAGATGTGGGATAAAATCAACTTGAACAAATGAAATTGCCAGTGATGGATTATCATTGGACATATCTGTTTTAATGTAGGGGTGGGCAAGTTGAAATCCCTTTTGCAGACATTGATGGACTGAAAATTGACAGGATAATTGCTTCCCATTTTGAAATGTGGAACAGATGAAAAAAACTGTAAGCTGTTATGTATGTATTTCATAGTTAAAAAGCAAACAAAACCTTCAAAGTTACCCCAAATCCTGTTCTACTCACACATCAGATGTTGTCCTTAGCCTCTTCAAAATCTTAGGTTCAGTTCTTGGTCCTGAAAGTTTGCCCACCCTGCTTCAAGATACCACAAGACTATTGCTTGCTATAACCGATTAACACTGCTAATCCATTAGATCTGGTTCTTGAGAATTCAATGAAGAACTCCCTTTATTGTCTAGGCAGCAAAACAATCTCAGTCCAGACTCTGTCAGAATTATAGATCTGTGGCTGCACACCAAAGATTTGTTGCAACTTTGAGATGGCCTCTATGCAGGTCTTTAAAATCCCACCATAAACATTTCATGTTAAACAATGAAGGTCATTACTGTGTTTAAAAAGGTTGTCCAGAATATTGTTTCAGTTAGCCTGTATGAATCAAACAAGATGCAAGCCATTATTTTTAATAAATGTTCCACAAACAAAATACGTAAACAATAAGTTATAATATTTTTATTCATGTTAGAATTTCTATCAGTGTTTGAACATTAATGTTTAGAGAGTTTGTACAAATTTTCATTTATGATTTAAAATTGAGAACCACACTAGATCACAAAATGGTAACCCTAAAACAGTTCAGAATGACAGGCAATATTCCACACTCTCCTTAATACTGTTGACCTTGATTTTGTTTGCAAATGGGATATCTTGAAAAATGTGCATTGTATTTTATGTCTCAGTATTGTTCCAAAACATAATGGTATTGTCACATATAAACTCTTTTAAAAATATAATTCTGTCAAAAGAATTGAGGACTACTATGTACACTACAAAAATAAATTTTCATATAAATAAATTATATGGCATACTTTTATCTTTGTAACTGAAATACAAACCCATTCCTGCTAAAAACAGGCAATGAGAACCAGTCTGAATATGTTTTCCTTTCGACTTCTCACTCTAAAAAAACCCCTACTGAATGAGTTCTTAATGTAAATGTTATATACTCTCTTCCTATTTAACATTAGTAAGCATTCTATACAAATAAAGATTTCAATTAAAAAGTAAAAACATAGCTGTAATAGTGTTTTCAATAGAAATAAAATCCCTGCATTTTGTTTGTTATAAACTGGCATGACAAATACTGTAAGAAAACATTCTTATGATACAAAAATATAAATATCAACAATTTATCATTTAAAAACATAGAAGAGCTGATCACTGAAATCTTTTGCCAATGTGACAAGAGAAAATGGTTATACTATGCCCTAAGGAGTAGGCAATCTCACAAAATAAAAAGGCAAAAATATCTCTCTGACACACAAACACACACACCGAGGAAAGTTAAGGTGAGGACTACTGAAAACTACATTCTTGTACTTGCTCACTTTCTCCCTCTTTCTTAAAAAATAACACAAAGCAAATAAGCAACTGTCATAACTTCTGA